AATAAAAATGATGAATCGAGAATAATTGTGAGAAACAAGGCAAGGCTTGTTGCTCAAGGTTATAATCAAGAAGAATAAATTGATTATGAGGAAACCTTTACCCCCGTAGTTAGACTTGAAGTTATAAGAATGCTCTTTGCATTTGCATCCTATAAGAACTTTAAGTTATATCAAATGGATGTAAAAAGTGCTTTCTTAAATGGCTTCATTGAAGAAGAAGTGTGTGTAGAACAACCACCGGGCTTTGAAAGCTTCAATTTTCCAAACTTTGTTTTCAAATTGTTAAAAGCAATATGTATTTCAAAAAATCCTATCTAGCATTCAAGGACAAAGCATATAGAAATTAGGTACTATTTTCTTAGGGATCATGTTCCTAAGGGTGACATTGAACTTGTATTTGTCAATACGGAAAAACAATTAGCGATATTTTCACAAAACCACTCCAAGAGGATAGATTTTGCTTGCTCAGAAGGGAAATTGGAATGTCCTCAAAAGATGAAATATTGCAATGAAGTAAGCAGCAGCAGAGCCAGCTCTATTCAGAGAAGAGCCGTCTCTATAAAGAAAAAGAGCCGTCTCTATATAAAGCAGAGCCGGCTCCACAGATGGTATCAAATTGCATACTCTCGGGATCTCCATGAAAAATTGAAAGAATCAGCTCCATTTATATGAAAGCAGGGTGCATAAACTGAGAGAGAACCGGCTCCATACACACAAGAGCCAGCTCCGAACCTGGACCAAAAACTGCTGCTCTCGGGATCTCTCTGCATATTACTTGTTGCTCTCGGGATCTCAAAAAATTTAGAGTGAAAGCCGGCTCCATACATACAAAAGCCGGCTGCCTAAATAAACAAAAAACTTGATACTCTCAGGATCTTCTAAGGAACCAGCAAGAGCCGGCTCAATAAAAAGGGACAGAGCCGGCTCAATAAAAAGGGACAGAGTCGGCTGCCAAACTACCTTAAAGCATTCACTTTCGGGATTCTTCATTTGGGTCAACATTAGCTTAGAAACTTCAGAGACATTCTAGAAAGCAATTTAGCTAGGGCTTTATCTTATCTTCCTTGGGCATCTTCACAATTTAAAATTTAAAAATATCCATGGCTTCATCCTCACGTAGAAAGAATCCTCCTCGTGGCCAAAAACAGAGCACTTAACATTCTGTTGATCATGAATCTGGCCTTAGTGAACCTATTCCTCCTCCAATTCAAATCTCTGTAACCATGTTATATAGAAATCCCACCTACAAAAGAGCATATGACAAAAACTTTCAACATAGAAAAGTGGCCACAACAATGGTGTTGTCTCACACAATCTGCGATGATCTTAATCTCAACACTTATAGATTGTTTGATGCAACTGGCCTTGGGTCATTTGTTGGGATGAATAACAAATACTATCCAAAATCAGTGAAGTTGTTCTACACTCACCTTGAAGAAATGTCTGGAATAGAGAAACTACATTGTTATGTGGCTGGAGTAGAATTTCACCTAAATACAAGTAGCATTGCTCGAATTCTTCACCTTATGGATGGAATTCAATTCTATTCTCCTTCCAAATGGTTTAATGGAAAAGGCTTTGACAAACTCATAGCTATTCAGCAAATGAGTTATGATTCCAGTATAACCAATACCAAAGAGGTAAACACAAAGCAATTAACTATGGAAGCTAGATTGATTTACAAAATCATTATGTACTCCATTCTTCCAAAATCCGGCAGTCGATCCAAAGTCTCGCATATGGACGTTTTCCTTATCTAGTGTGTCTTAAATGGAAAGCACTTTGATCTTGCATATATAATCTTTCATCACCTGCTTGCATGCAAGAGAAAGAAAAAGGTCCCTCTGTATTATGCCATGGTTCTCACCCACATATTCATGGATAAGAAAATTCCGCTTGATAATCACGAATCCGTTGAGCCAGGACCAAGACACATACTCACTGCCTCAAATCTTGCATTAATGGGGCTAAAAAAGGATTCAAATGATGTGTGGTTTTATCCTAGGCAACGAAGGTTCGAAGAGGCTAGAGCTAGAAGAGAAGAGATTGAGGATGTTGATGATGGGGATGAAGAAGAACATGAAAGTGATGACAGTACTGAAGAAGAGGAAGTTCCAGCTCCAAATTGTACCAATCGTGATCTTTTGTTGGAAATTCTCAAAGGCACTCGTCAAAACCAAGCCACTCTTGAAAAACAACAAACTCAACTTGACGAAGTGCAAATGATAATCACTCATCTTAATGAGGATTTTCAAGAATTTTGAAGCAAATATGGACCTCATTCTCCTTAGACCAGTATCCCTTTGTTTCAAACCTATTTTTGTGAGCACTTATTTGCTTTAAAGAAACATCCGTTTAGCTATGTTTTATTTATCTCTGTCATTTTCTTTTAGCTGTGTTTTATGAACTATGTTTTTGTCTTGTTATATGGTAGTTGTATTCACATTCTCCTTATGTATTAAAATCTGTCATCTATAAAATGAAATATTTGCTATTGCTATATCTTCATTTGTCCTATATTTCATTTTTCCCTATTTTATGAAATGGCAAGTAACTGCTTTATTCTTCCACCTTTTTGAGATAACAAAGGGGGAGAAAGATGTGTGATGCTTGTTACGCTTGCTTATACGTATGTTGCCTTTCACTTATATTTTTTTTAGACGCATATTGAAATGGGAGACTTGTACACTTTTATGTCTAAAATATTTGTTGTTAATGTATGCATATCGATAGGGGGAGCATTCTTTCAAATGCAACTCCATCTTGACAATAAACATATCAATGTTTTGTCATCATCAAAAAGGGGGAAATTGTTGGCCTAAGAATTTTATCTAAAAGTCAATATTATGTTTTGATGATTACAAACTATTAATGATGTTTAAGATCTAATATTTTCATTGAGTGATGTATAAATGATCAATATTCAATCATCAATGATGAGTTAGAAGATCCATTCCAAGCACTCAAGCAATGGATCCAAGGAAGCCTCAAAGTTGCAAGAAATAAAAGAAAAACTCGAACTTCAAAGATCATACAAAGCATTTCAAAGAAAAAAAAAAAAACAAGTCTTCATCAAGCCAAAACGATCATGGTCAAATAATGAAGAAAATGGTAGATAGGATGGTGAGAGCTTAAGTTTCAATATCAAAATTCATTTGAATATATTTTGAAGCTCAAAATTATAGTTCATGAATAGACATTCTCATTTCATTTTTCAAAGAACATAAAATTAGCTCATAAAGTTTATGAACACATTCACACATAAGCCACACATCATATGAAGTGTAGATAGGACTTACATAAATTCACTTTAAGTCTCATACAGTAATGGAGCAGGCTCCATGAAAGACAGAGCATACTCTCAACATTCCAGTAGGTTTTTTTAACGAAAATTTAATTCTTCCAACCAAAGAGCAGGCTCCCAAAATAGGGAGCAAGCTCTCAGTGGCTGGGAGCCGACTCCATGCAATGGAGAGCCGAGTCTCAAGGCTAGGGAGCCGCCTCCTCTTGTTTACAAGAGCCGGCTCCTTCTGGGGTTTTGAACTGCAACGGAAACTTTTTCATTTATTGCTTCCCAACCACCTCTAGCAGCTATATTGAGCGTAATATTTCTCCATATATATATGGTTGGTCTGCAGAAGTAAATACACCATTAAAGAGAGCATTCTATAATCCTTGAAGATCATTTAAAAAGAAGCATTCATCGAGCTTTCATTTCCTCTCATATTTCATTCCACTGTAATGATTCTGAGCTTCAGATATATATTCATCTTTACTATAGTTTAGCAAAACTTTGTACAAGTTATTGTAAAGGGTTGGTTTGACCCAAAAGAAAGCCTAAGAAGATGGTGTTCTCCTAGCAAAGAAGAGAAGCAAGGTATTGCTTCAAATTGAAGATTTGCTCTCCACCATTAAGGAGACGCTCTAGTGAAATTGGGAAGTCTCAAGGGGGACCTTGAGCCAAATAATAGAAGTTTCCGAACCTCGCTAAATCGTCGAGCCATTGTTTACAATTTCTTATCTCTATCTCTTTTATATACTTGTCACTTGTAATATATATTTCTTGAATATCTCAATTGATTATTGCATGATAGTTAGTTGAAAATTACTTTTTATAAATTGCAAAAATCAGGCATTGACTATATTCACCCCCCTCTAGAGTCAATTAGTGGCTAACACATGTGAATATGTGAAACTCTTGATGACATGTCATTCACGTAGACTCGACTAAGGAAATAGGTTAAAATTTTACATGTGATAATCACTCATCTTACAATATCTACCTATTAATTAACCACGTAAGTTGGTTAGCGTTACTCTTCACAATAGATTCACAATAGAAGTCTTGAAGTTCTATCATACCACTGATCTTTCAATATCTCCTCACTAGTTCTCACGCTCTCTACTTGGCTATACACTCGCACTCAGAATTGGTTAAAAATGAGATTTCTCTCATTCTTACTTAAGGAGTAGGATGCATTATAATCAACGTTAATCTTCACTCTAGAATTCTCTTCTAGATATATATACAAAGTCTCTACTCCTATGGTTCTCTAAAATCTTCCCTAACCTACTCACAACTCTGGAAGACTCTAGAATCTGATTCTTTAATTCTCAACACTTGCCAAGCAGGCACCATGCAAAGTCGTCCTCAGCGCCCACATGTAGCCAGCTTGGCGCAACCACCTTTGGGCTCAGAAATACAAGAGGGTTCATAATATCACTCTAGCAAGGACTTTTCAATACGCTCAACTTGCAACTATAGTACCAAACAGAAAAGGACATAAAATAAGGGTTCAAATAGCATGTTTAAAGTCGAATTCAAATCCACAATTGACAACTCATACCCATTCTCACAAGTGAACAATCCACAACAATCTAACAAATATGACATCTATATTTTGCAAATCAGAAGGCAAAAAATAGAGAAAGCAATCATATTCAAAAAGTAATAGCTTAAAATAATGAAGCAAGTAAACCAAGATTCTCAAGCACAGCTCTGCCATATTAAAGAAAAAGTTTATAAAAACATAAATATTCAATCCCATACATTAGAAAATTTGTGACCTCTAAACGCCAAAGGCACTCCACTTGGCGACATTTGTACAGTCACGATCACAACTTCAATACAATTTCTTCCTTTTTACACCCTTAAAACTTGTACAGTAACTTTATCTCTCCTCTGCGGGGCATCAGGTGTATTCACCATCTGAGCCTCAGCTAGCCTGATTCTAGGTATATCATCAATTAAGACAATGTACAATTTTAAGTACAACCAACAATTTTTTATTTTCAAATGACTCCCTATCCATCTGAATGAACAGACAGATCCATAGCTAGACATACAAGAAAAAAGAAAGAGAGTACTCATACTAGCCTCAGTTAGCTGTACAACTTCCTTCCTACAACATCTAAGCGGCGGAATATGAAGCCAGAATGCCAATCCTCCTCTCTGCAAGAGATTGAGAATTTTGTCAGAGAAATCTTTAACTGATGGATCATACAAGAAAATAACATTTAGGATGCCCCTACAAAGTCAACTCATAAAATTGTGAGACTGAACTATAAGAAGGAAAAAAAAACAAAAAAAAGTTCTAAAACATTGCATAATTATAGAACTTGACGTCACAAAGAAAAAGTAAGATTGCAGTTAGATCCCTGCGGAGAGAACTCTGAACAACCTGACGTCTCCTAGTAATGCTAGGTTGCGCTTGTTTCTCCATCTTCTGCTCTTTTTCTTCTCGCTTTATTTATTATTTTTTTTTTTTCCTCTTTTTCTTTTTGGTTACACAATTCTATAGAATAGTGCATCAAGATCATATTTCAATTTAAATATTATTTGGCGTAAGACAAGAATTTCTAAGACATGCTTATCATACTCTAGAAAAAAAAAAAAAAAAAAAAAAAAAAAAAAAAAAAAAAAAAAAAAAAAAAAAAAACTCTCTTCCCAAAACGTTTTGGCCTCTGCTTCGTCATTTCTATATTTTAATCACATATAAGCATGCTTCACAAATATGAAACACTATCAAGGTATCATTACATGCTCTGCAACAGTGCATTTAATTCTGAATGCTAAATAAATCAAACGTTTGCAAATTCGTGGAATAATTTCCCTAGTATACGGATAGATATCAAAAGAACTAAATGGAAACATAAAGCAAGAGAAAGAAACTGAGTACCCCCAGCGGCAACGAGTTTCTCTACACGTGCAACTATGTGCTTTCCATAAGTGTACTTCTTCAGAGCATTCAGATGAACCTTTATTCGGTTAAGAATCAATTCAAGTTGCTGGTCATCACAAGTTTCCAGCACTTTCTGTACAACGTAGTTTGCAAACTGATCTTTCATCATGATCTGAATGCAACACAGAGTAAACAAAAAAGGAGCATCAAGGAGAGGGAAACACCATATCACCATAAATACCATAAACCAGGTAACAAACAATTACAAAGCATTAGCAAATGAATTCTGTCATAGCATGTGCTAACTTAGAAACTCCTGAAAGAGTTCAAGCAGCGAAGCACTATTTAAGAGAACAGAAACCCGTCTATTGCAAATCCACGGAATCAAGTCATTAAAGAAACAAAAGGCAGAAATTAACATCAAGTTCAGAAAACCTAGGTCATCAGCTTGAGATGAAGTTAAACCTGAACAGCCTTTAGTTGAGATTATCATCAACAGCTTTGCTATTCCAAAGTTGCTGAACAGGATTCATATCTCTCAACAGTACTATGATAAACTATAGGTACTGAAAGGCTCATTGCTTCTCTCAATTAGAAGTTGAAATAGATCATTCCTTGTATTGGTTTGATAAGAAGCCATACACATGTCTTGAGATACATCATATATGGCCTGGTTCATTGATTGTATTCGGATCTTTTAACCTGAAAGATGGCTTAATCAACATATGTCACAGTTTTCAGTGAATGATTTGGACAGACCGTAGACCTGGTAGAAATCACCTGCTATCCTGTTATTTAGTGAATCAAAATAACCAACTTCCAATTTCTAATATCATCTATCCTGTCATTTAGTGAATCAAAATAACCAACTTCCAATTTCTAATATCATCTGCTCCATCTCAACAATATTACACAATGGCCCATCTACGATAACAGAGTTTCTAACCACAAATGCTATGCAACACCACAAAAACAAAATTCTTAAAAAATTCCCTAGTTTTTAAATCTATCACATTTTTTCAATTATTAAATGGATTTTATTTTATTCGGAAATTTAAAAAAAACATGTATTATTCCAATCATCATGCAGATCAATACTTATTACTGACTTTTCCATAAAACACAAATTACTTTAGATAATTATCAAACAACTACACCCTTCCAAATTTCTCAAAATTGCAGCTCTTTCCATCCCTATGTACTCTAAATTATTAGCGATTTACCACAAATAATTTTTGCATAATAAATTAATCATTGCCAAATAATACCTAAACTTATTTGCCACAACAGAGACATTCAATCTTCATAGGATGTCCAAACTCAACCTTCTTTTAAAAGGCATTGATTTGAAATTTCAACAATGGAGCAACTACAGTTCATTTTCTCTATAAAACTAATTATGTATTTTATATGCAACGGGATACTCTAATGCGAGACAACCGCTGATACTATTCATCTTTGACAACCAACAATGCAGTAGTGCTGTACAGATTGGAGGACACTCTTAACACATCAACAACACTGATAAATATTATATTAACTTTATGAAGGCCAAACATTAACATGCACTTATACAATACTATTTTATCATTTCCTGGGATTTTTTTTTCCCAGATAAAGATCATTTTCTCAATTTTCAACATACCACTATCATACCAAAGCAGTGAGAAAGTATGATAAATTTTAAATATCAACATGATATCACGAAACCATTGATGTGTGTGTGAGAGAGGAAAAGAGAAGGCACTAAAACAACAGCTGTTCTGTGATACGAGCTCAAGGATTCTGATGTTAAATTTTTTCATTTAAAGTGACTTTCACTTTTTCCCAACACCCTCCCACTTGAATATGTATCGTCATCGACGACATGACAATTGGCTACATAAATTCACTTTGGATTCCAATGGTGTTTTTCAAGATTTATCAATAATCTGACTCATTGCGGGACAAAACCTGAGCACTGCTGAGTGAAATACCCTAATCAACATCTTAAATAATTGCACGATGCAGCTTAAGGAGGAGAATGAATAAAAAAGGATGTTATGCGGCTAAAAGAAAAAGGAAATGTCCATTTGAGCTTGAACATGCAGTTCAATTTGTATAGCAATGGGAATCATAAGGACTACTGAATAACCTGAAGCGGCTCATTTTCATCAGTAGAGCCAAGCATCTCATTCACCAGGATCTGGCGCTCTTCAGGTGTTCCAAAAGTCAAACACTTCTCTACAACATTGGAGGCGAATTTCTGCTGGCTCATTTGAACTATTTGCCCAATTAGTTTATTAATAATAGCAGTGCGTTCATGTGGCTTTCCATGTTCAAGCACATGCTGTCAGAAAATATGCAAGCAATCAGAAGAGTAAATGCAACAACTGATTAAAACTAAAAAGAGACAATTAAAGAATATAAAATTAGACATTCTATCATTTCTTCCGTACCAGCAGAATGGACATTCATGGGGTTTATTAGAGGAAGAAATCAGAAATAATTGTTGGGCTTCCTTAGTAAATATGCACCCAAAAGGTTGAAATGTGTTTTTTTTTTTTTATCAAATATGTGGAAAAAAAATAATAGTATGGAATAATAGATCTCATTAGTCATTAAAATATTTATACAGGTTTAGATGGGCGGCTGTTTTCCGGTACCAACCCTTGCTGATAAGAAGATCGAGCTACCAAATCACAGAAAATGTTTTGACTGGAATCACACGGCTGATATTTTATGATTAGATAGTTTAGAGCAAAAAACTAAAAGAAAAAAATTGAATTACACTAAAAATGATCTAACTATAAGATTGCGAAGGTTGAGGGTTCAAGTCATCGTAGGGGAACCGTAGGTGCGTGAGTCATTTGACAAGGACACCCCCAAGCTGGCTGCTATACATTTCCACCATTCCAATAGAGTCCAACTCAACTAAATTGATTAACATCCACGAACAAGTAAACTGATCGAGGTAGTTAATGGGATGCCAAAACAGGGGGAAAATGTAAATAAATAAATGGTTTAACTACTTAAGGAATTGAACTAATCATTCGACAAAAGTCCATGTAAAATGAAAAACTAAGCTGACTATCCATCCTAGTGTATAAAATTCAATGTGTAGAAACAGAGTGGTTGATGAAAGAAATCCAAGAAACAGCAAACCTGAACAACATAGTTCCCATACTGATCTTGTGCCAACATGCAAACAGAAAGTAAAATCTCATCCATCACTATTTGTTGGGTTTTTGGGTCGCCGCAATGCTCCAGGACTCTCTGTCACATCAAAGTCGTACCATTTTACAATCATATCCACTTAATTTATTTCTATCATTTTAACAGTATTCAAAAAGCATAGAAATACATAATAAATTACAAAACAGAAAGTTGCTTAACCTGTATGACACGACAACCATATGGATGGGTGGACAGGGTCACAACTTGATCATAAAATACCGAGACAATGAATTCAATAGCATCTTGAGGTATGCATTCAATACACTTTTGGATGACATGATTCCCATTCTGATCACGTACACAGCGCATGATATGACCATCAAGCTCTGCAACCATTTTAACTTGCTGGTCCAACTCAACAACTTCTATGGCCTGCATTGTTAAAACAAAGTGTTTAAAATCATGTACCTTCAGTATTAATTGTAATTGCAAATATTAGTCTCCATTCAATTAGAACTAGGATACATTTGGACATACTAAGCAGTGACATAAAGTAAACATTTATTGGTCTTAACCCCTCGTGTAGTCAAGTGCAAAATAATTCTCAAAAACATTCAAGTGATGGATACAAGTCGGTGTGCCTGCTTCTGAAAATCAAGACACAAAACATATATAGGCAAAATCAACATGTTAGTTTCTTTGTTTTTCTTTGAAATAAATACAGGAACTATGATTTTGCAGGCCTGATAAGAAATACATATATTTGCTCAGAACATAGGTTTTCAGTAAGCTACTTGGTGCAATTCCAATTTCTGTTTTCAGAATAACTTAGCACAAGAAACTGGGAACAATGTTTCAGTTTGAGCTACTATTTGGTGCTATTTTTAAAAAGATGCTGCATCATTCTCCATTTTCTAAAACTAGCTTGAGTTGCTTTTTTCTATTTCAGCCACAGATTAATGGGACAAAACAAGATGGCCTCCTTTCCAGATATTCCAGACAACCACTGAAGATATTGGATAATACTATCTAGCCTGTATATCAAGTATGAGGTATCACAGTATTGGAGACCACTACAGGTGGACCTTATACAGGAAATTTTGATATAATTTAGAGTCATCAGTCTGGTTAACAGAGTAAAAAATTAAAAATACCTTCTGAATCACTCGACAGCCATACATTTGAAGGCTAAGGGTCAGAACATGCCCGTTGAGTTGATCGGCCAGTTCTCTTATCTGAGACGCAGTTCCATGTTCAAAAAACTGAAAACAACAGTAAATGTCAATGACGTGATTTTTTCCATAATTATTCTTGTGCAGACTTGCATAATTGAACAAACAAAACAAATATTAGCTTAATCAGCACGCAGAATGAAAATCAATAAAGTTACCTTCTGTATCACATAATTACCAAACACATCGGTCATTAAAGTAAGAGCTTGAGGCATAATTTCATGGAAAACCATGTTTTTCTCTTCTGTTGTGGCCGTTTCAAGTTTCTGCTGAATAAAACGACTTCCATACTGATCGGCACTGCTCATACACATGTAAAATGATATATCTGATATTTCTGGAGGCATGGAAACCCAAAAAAAAAAAAAAAAAAAAAAAAAAAAGGTTTAGTTACCTGAACTCAACCACATGACCTGCAATTTCTGAAAGCTCAAAACATCTAGTTTTATTGCTCTTAAACTCATCTAGTAATGAGGGTGCAAAACTTTCATGCAGGTTTCCACCAGCCTCTGAGTGCCAAGCTCCCATGACACCCCCAGCTAAGTTCTTCATCCCGGAAGGAAAACGCATGTTACGCTCACCATGCCTGACTGGACTACCTGATCCAATGGGTGAATTTGGAAGAAAGGGACCCGCCAATGGGCTTCCAGGATAGGACATGCCAAGACCGAATGCAGGGTTACCATAGTAACCATGATTCAAGCTACCAGATTTACTAAGGTAGGGCAGGCCATACTGTGACTTCTGAGGCGAAAGTAATGCCCCTAGGTACGCTTTCTGAACTTCAAGTAAATCCATGTATGGGTTATTGATGTGTTCGTTATCCATAGATGGGTCATTCAACGCTGCAACCTGCGCACCAGCAAAATCCGTTGATCTAAAGTACTGAAGATACGAGGGATCGACAAGGGGCACCTGGAGAGCATTCACTGCGCTGTGATTTCCGGCTCTGCTAAGATTCTGCAGTTCTGCTGCTGCAGCCAATAAATTTGGTCCTAAAGTCAAACCTCCACCCAATGCTCTCGAGTCCATGCCAGAGACACCCAATGCCGACACAGCAACATTTTCAAATAAAGGTGGAAAGTTACCACCGTGGTTTCCCATCATGGATGGTGATGCAGGATTAATGGCATACCCACTTAAGCCATAGTTTGAAAATGTTGAATTTGGGCTGTCCAAATTCCTGTAGTTAGGAGGTGAACTTACGCCGTTATTGAGAGTTGGTGTCGAAGCTCCCTTTAAATATGAGTTTGCTGAGGATACAGCAGGTCTATGAAGTTCAACTTGTCCATCAGCTATCGGCGAAGATTTCTTCAGATCCATTCCAACCCCACTACTTTTAGCCATATTGGGATACGATCCTTTGGCAGATTGTGAAGCAGAATGCAGATGAAATTTCCCGGATTCAGACTTATTTAAAGATGAATGTTGTTTAATATGGTTCTGATCACCTTGCAAATGAAAGAGGTTCTGATGATCGTTAATCTCATGATGAATATGAGAGAGTGAATGATTCTCTTCATCTCTCATACCACTTTTTGATAGTGTCATTCCAGACAATGCAGCTACCAGATCTGTGGTCTCACTTATACCGGGTGACACACCATTGAATGAGTTTAAACCGTTGAAACTTCTTTTATCCATAGAGGAAGCCCTTCCTCCTCCAACAGGTGGAATGCGAGGACTAGGAGCCCTAGCCACAAGCTGAGGGTCAGGAGTGGTACTTCTAGACAAGGAGGCACCCAAAGCAGAAGCATAAGTATGAGAAGCTGATGCACCAATATTTTGGAGAGAAGGAATGCCTTGAATAATTGCACCAGAACGTACAGTGTCCACTGATGCCAATTCATGATGCAGATGAGAGAAATGGGATTCAGAAGATTCAACATTGTCATCAAATGCACTTCGGCTAGCTGGACGAGAAGGATGCCTAGATACAGATGTTGCATGACTCATATCATCCTGCATTAAATAAAAAACCTCTTAAATTGGTACAATAAACCCACCTTCTGAAAAGAAATGCTAAATCACACATAATCCTTAGCACAGAATCAACCACTGACAAGTATGAAGATATATAGTAAAAGACAAGGAACTAACACAGCCAGGCCCATTAAAAAACAAAAGAGCGTAGTAGAAGAAGCCTTTTAATATGAAAATACATTCCTCATAGCATCATAAAGATCAAATCTGTACACTGCCAAAAAAAAATATTTTAAAAAAAAAATAGATAATGTAAATAAATAAATAAATAAGAAAACAAAAATTATATAACAATAAACAACTTGTGATCGTTATAACCAAAGTCAATTAATTCAACACAAATGCAGGCATATATATATGCGTGTATATATTGTTTGAACTTTTAAATGTTTCACATTACAACTTGCTGGCATCTGTCACATTGTACAATTTATATGGGAAATCCATGGACAAAATCTTGTAAAATTACACTTTTACTGGACCTTAAAAATATGCTAGGTAAAGTACAATTGTTTTGTAATTTTATTATATATAACTCATTCCAACAACAACAACAACAACAACAAAAAAAAAAAAAAAAGAGAAGAAGAAGATCCAAAACATTCTTGATGGATCTCCATATTACATTAAAGCTTTATCATTGTCACACGAGATGTCTTGTATGAAAATTTCATGCATGAGTCACATGACACTTCAGTAAATAGAAGGAAGTGGTGGGGAAAAAAAGAACAGAAAAGACAAAAGAACTAATCTTCAAATTATAGAAAATCTACCAGTTATATACTATCCGAACGTCGGCGTATGACATATATGAATGAAAAGGGGGCTTAAAAATTATAATATTCAACTTATGACAACTATTTAAAATTACGCAAAGGAAACTGGTGAGGCATCCATGCGCACCATGACAACAAAATCATTCCTGCCATGGAGTTTAAATAATATATATAACAACCTTGACCATAAAATCAATATTGGGAAAACAATTACAAAATGGAACCAGTTTGACCCTGCTGCAGAACCAATAAAATTTGATAGAACAAAAACAAATTTTTTCAGTGTTCATAGGTCCACAGGTGAAATATATTTTGCTTATATAAGGCCATCTTAAATCCATGTAAAGTTTCTTTATCCTAAAAAAAAAAAAAATACATCCATCCCCCAAGTAATATGGATCATGATTTTCGAAGGTGATAAATTAGAACATAAGGTCATCCTACGGATCAAATATTAGAAAGTAAGCAATTAGATCAACAGCGGACAGAATGAGTATTATTTTTTTTTTCTTTCTTTCAGGAAAGGGGTTACCAAATAGCATTTTCAGCTCCCATTTCCATCATTATTTAATGTGCATATGTCATACGCTTATGATGCCTGTGCATCTTAAAAATCTGCATTTATCTCTGGCTCACAAGCACAACCTACATATAGCAGATCAAGCTATCTTCCACACCATGAATACCATACCAAAATTATAAGCTGAAATTTTTGCATCCTTCTAAGCACTAAATGAAGTGAAATTAATAATTTTCAAGTTTGTTATTTCCTTTTGTGTGGATTAAAGAACCCAAGAAGAAGTCAGAAGACAAATATCTCAAGTGCCTCAATTAAGAATTCCACGCCATTGTAGCCTATCATCCTAAAGTGAATTTCCATTAAACAATTGAGTCAAGTGGGACTTCCAACATACAGAATGAGCTGAATTGATGAACAACTAATCCTTTTAATCAAAAAATAAAAAAATAGAAAGTAGTCCAACTTGAAGATGAATTGGAGGCTACAGTAATCAAGAAATTCAATCAACTTGGGTGTCTCTGTGTGTTTGCGCGCGTGCGCACGCGAGAGAGAGAGAGAGAGAGAGAGAGAGAAGGCTCAAAATCGACAAGTTACCTGAAGGTGAAGATTAAAATACAAAGGTATGAGCCCAAAGACTCAACTTCATCTAACAGCAGTCTAATCATCTAACTAGTTCAATCTAATCAACATCAGACATTTTACTAATTTCAATCGAAAAGTTAATCATATGAGTTTTGGGGGGGGGGTAAATTTGATTCCATCAATGAATTGAACATAAAACAAATGTTTTGACATTTCCGAAAGCGTGAACAAGCAGAGCGACACATCTCCATTTTTGGTGCTCATCAATGTCAAAGTCACAAGTTTTGTCTCACTCAATATCAGTTTCAGATTCCACCCATCGTTTTGCTAAAAAACAAGGGCACTTGGGTTATTTCATTATTCCGCCTTCTAAAGGAAATGCAGCACTCACCACTTTAGCATGAAGCGACACGTTGTAACTAGCAAACAGACAACCAGGGAAATTGTAACCAGAGAAAAGAACAGGTAAAACCATTAAAAATTAACAATAAATATTTAAACAAAATAAAGGCAAAAGTTTAATAATTCAAGAAGAATTAATTGTCATTAGCAAGGTCTTGACTAGCATCAATTCCAACTAAAAATGATTATCAAATCAAATCATTAACATCAGGAAGTAAGCAGGAAGAAAAACTAATACTAAAAGTTACCAATATGGACACATAACAACACTAAACACAAAGGTCTAAACAAAATGTGCATTCTAAAATAATCCAACACATAGTGGTAGAATTTTGAATCCAATGACCTTATATGAACAAGAATGATATGACGTTAAATACCAGCACAGAGTGTAAGTTACTATATTTTGATAAATGACAAGGTGCATATCTACTGCTAAATGTGGAAAGCAGAATACATACAGTAACAGGTATCAATGATAACACTTCAAGAATTGAAATAAAATTATAGTTAATTCAACGAAAATCACCTGAATTATCTCTGCAATGCTCTTCTTTCTACTTCCTAATCCCAACCCTGGCAATCCAATGAGTCCATCACCACCCCACTCTGCGGAATCAATTCCGTTCTCTTCGCTCTTCGTATTGAACCCCGGTTGAGAAGTAAACAGCGACCTGCTGTTACCTCCATCATCACCTGCTCTATTCACCTTCCTCCTATCACCAATAGCGGAGCTCCCTCCGCTGCCTTGCAACCGCTGTGCAAACCTCCAATCCTCCTTCGAAAGCAAAGGAGGCGGAAGCCTAGGGTTCAGATTCACATTCGAATAGTAATAAGAAATGTACGCCGGATCAGACCTCAGCTCTTCCTCCGAAACACCACCAAACGCCGAGGCGCCGCCACCACCACCGCCTTGGCCGAACAAACCTCCGACAGCACTCAACGACCCTTCGACGGTCGGAGGAGCTGAACCACTACGATACAGGCTCAGCTCCCTCTCTCGATCACTCACTTCCTGTCTCCGTTGCTCTCTGAGCAACAACCCTAACTCTTCGCCGTAATCGTTGCTTTGAAGCATCGATCGCATTCCGATATCAGACATCATCTTTGATTAACTATCAGTAATTATTACACATATATAACAAAACACTAAAACTGTTCAAAAATCAGACTTTGAGCTTAAATTAACAATAATAAACTGGTTTAAGAGCTCAAAAAAGTGATAAAGATTCGATCTTTTTGGTGTTAGAGCTTTAAATAAGTTAATTTCATGACCAGAACTATGAATCGAAAGCTAAAAAATGAAAGCTTTGATTGAACATCAACAAGTGTGCAAAGGATGTATTTTCGCTGTAGTGAGTTCGAATTTACTCATAGATATAGAGATCAGATTGATAATGAGCAGACTTTCTGGTTTTGTGTCGAATAACGTCGATGATCGCCGATGGTTTTCGCCATTTAAGACATATATGTGTAAGTATGCGTGTGTGTGTATATATATATATATAGACTCAGAGAGGGGTTTACAGAGGGAGAGAGGAGGGGGAAGAAAGTGAGAGAAAGGAAAACAGTGAAGTAAAGAACGGAGTGATAAGTACGAGCGTTGGGAGGATCTGGACCGTTGGATGAAATGGCTGACGGCAGAGATTGATGCTTGTGGGATTTGTTCTTACAATGGCTCGTTAGGGTTTTATTTCGAGGATTTAATGTTGGATTGCTTGGTTTGGAAATATTTTTTCCCCTTTTTATTTCAATTAAATTACTTAGTATAATAAGCATAGAATAGCCTATTGTTTTAATTCAAGTCCATTCTAATATGGAGAAGATGGATTTTTATTTTTATTTTCTCTTTTGGACATGAATAGAGATGGAAAATTTCAAATTATAACCCTTAGATTTTGTAAATTTCAAATTCTTAATTTCAAAGATCCCACTTGAAAGTAGGAATATCTCAAATTAATTTTTTTTCTTTAGAGTGTTGCATTGCCCGAGTGATTTGGTTCTCCCTTGCGTTCGGAGCATGTATTTAAACCTTGCACTATTCCCCTCCGCCCCCCCACCCCCCTCATTTAGTAATCACCAACCCCCTAACATTGTTGTCATGAAAAAAAACAAACAAACTAGAAATTTCAAATTGTGACCTTTAAATTCTGTCATTTGATAAATTTATATTCCTAATTTCAAAAATCGCGATTGAAAGTGATAATATCTTAAATTAATTTTTTCTTTTGATCATATTACTAGAGTGATTTGATTGCTCCTCGTATTCGGGAACTTGTGTTCAAGTCTTATACCATCGCACTCCTCTCTAACTAGTAACCAGTAACCCACTAATATTTTTGCCATGAAAAAAATAATAAATTTAATTTCTTCTCTTGAAACCAGTCTCACCAAATTATTTTTGGAGAAAAAAATGAAAATTTTGTAAGGTTAAAAAAATAAATAAATAAACAAAGTTTTGTATGATGGTGTCTACCTTATTAGAGCAACTTGAAATTCATCACGGAACGTATGTAATTTCCACATCCCATGGTAATATTGAGGAAAATTACTTGAGAATGGCTTTATTTAAATTTTTGACTTAAATCACACAATTATTCTCAACGAGTATCGTTCATGCTCCGCATACGCTCGCTCCCATTATCGCTTTGTGTGACTTAGGGTTTACTTGGTTTGTGTCTTGAAAATAATTCTCAGAAATTAAGATTTTTTTTTAAATAATTATAAGATTGTTATATGAAAATAGACTTTTTTATAACTGAATTTTCGTAAAACAATTTTCAAAAAAATGAATCAATTAGAAAGTTTTGTATGGTGGTGTCCACCTTATTAGAGCACCTTGAAATTCATCACGGAACGTATGTAATTTCCACATCCCAGGGTAATATTGAGGAAAATTACTTGAGAATGGCTTTATTTAAATTTCCAACTTAAGTCACACAATTATTCTCGACGAGTATCATTCATGCTCCGCACGCGCTCGCCCCCATTATCGCTTTGTGTGACTTAAGGTCTGTTTGATTTGTAACTTAAAAACAGTTCTCAAAAATTAAGATTTTTTTTTTAAATAATTATAAGATTGTTATATGAAAATAAACCTTTTTATAACTGAATTTTCGTAAAACAGTTTTTAAAAAAATGAATCAATTAGAGTTTTTTTTGTACAATTTCCTGTTTTCAATTTTCAGAAAACAAAAAATTATTTTTATAGTTATAAACTAAATAAGCCCTTAGATTTTGCCGTTTTTCAAATTCTCACTCAATGTGACTTAACTCATGACCTTTAAAATGCAAGTCGAGAATTTTCAAAATTTTATAAAAAATAAAAATAATAGATAAATAAGATTTATACAATTTAAACTAAAGAACAACATTATTTTTGGTGTAAATTGGTGTTTGTGAATAGAAATTGTGGCGCGTGATCAAACAGAACAAGACCAGGTCAAAAACATATATATGTGGAAGTCTTGATTGGGCAACTTCAAGTCTGAAAAGTCAAATGCCTTTCAAACAAAAATTAATTAACAAATGATAATCAAGCAAGAGAAAGAAAAATTATATAAGTAAAACCTTTAGATTTTATTAAAACAATGTGCCGTAGTAGATTTTCTTAAAACTCAATATCAAAATGTTAGTTTTATTTTTAGTCAAACACAATTAAGATTTTATTGAACATTTACATATGTTCAAGTTTTTTATTTCAAAATTTCATCCGTCCTTATTTTTTTTCTCTGTCTACTTTTCAAAAGTATTTTTATAATTATTAAGTTTTAAGCATGAAAAATATTGGACAGAATAGGTTTTATGTGACCAAATTTAGTGTATAAATCATTATTCTATTTCTAAACCATTACATTTAGACTCCGTTTGTTTGGACGTAAAATATTTTTCAGAAAATAAATTTTTTTTTTTTTTTTGGTATTTGGTTGTCGCAAAATATTTATAAAGAAAAAAAATATTAAATTTAAGAAAAATAATTTAACCATCAATTTTTGACAAGTTATTTTATATGCCCCGCTCGATGGACTCAACCTCGATCTCAACATAGATCTTTATCTAATACCGATAAAATAAAAATAAAAAAATATCTTATATCGAATCAAACGGAGAATGTATTTCATTTAACAAGTAAAATTTGAAACCTTTAAGACATTATAAATCTTTATTACCCCAAAAAAAATATAGATCAATAATTATTCTATACCTTTTATGAGTTTGATGGAAATTGGACCAAGTGATGTAAGAGTAATGTATTATTATGTGTGGAGATAATGATGTTTGCCGCTGAGAACCACGTCAACATTGAAATTGTAAAAACCCAACATCTACGCGCCCTGATAAGCCGGTTGTAGATGGTGCCATGTGTTGCTCTTAGAGAGGACCACGTGTATACAGTGGGCCATTTTTTTTTTTTTTTTTTTTATATGACGTGAAAACCCTGCAATTACCCATCTTTTGAACTTGTAGTTACCAGGTAAACTCTCGACTATCCACTTTGATCTCACAGTGCAAATAACAGTTAAATTAAGAACTTGCAAAATTGAAAGAAAATCGAACCCACACTTAAGTGCCAAGTACAATTATTTAACACTTAGAGGCTCCCTCTTACCAATTCTACTGCGCCCTTGGGGGTGGGCCATATTGCTTTCTCTTAAAGCGGGCATGGAACTCACCCTTCGAAGATGAGAGTGGTACTTGCATATTTGGTGAGTAAGACCTTATATTGAAATGTCTATAATAGGCATGCGATATAATATATACTTTCTGCCTAAAAAGCTAGTGTAAGATATTTTGCCCTTTTGTATTGTTTCCACTCTGAGTTGTCGAGCTGGGATAAGCTACTATTTTTGGAATATGACTAATGCATCTCTTTCTTTTTTTTCTTTTCTTTTTTTCTTATATCTTTTTAATGTATATATTAAAAAGAAATTTTTAGCACTTTATCTTTTGATTTATTATATTATGAATGTAGGCATAAAAGAGTTAGCCAAATGCACAAGAATTCCATGTCTACTTTTTAATTAGTGATTTATTAGATGAAAAATAATAAAAAGCTATAAGATATATATATATATATATATATTGAATTTTCAGGTTTTTGTCATAGAACTTCAACAATTTGTCGTAGTTGATAATTCATACCGCGTTGTTAGTAGAGTTAATATAAAAGCAAAGAGAGGTGGACATGGAATACAGTAATGTTTAAGTCCTAATGGTCGTAATCTCAAGTCTACATCATAACCGCCCCCTGTTTCTTTCCATATACATACCTTTCAAAATCTATAAAAGCTATTCTTGTCATTGCATTCTTAAGTTTCATCGCACCTTCTTTTCCTTCACAAATTTTAGAAAATTATAATTTTATCTCATTTTCTCCAACTTTTTAGCATCTTGTTTGTTCAATGCAAACATAAAAACCGAACTACGTATGGATGTTATATTTTAATGACATTAAAATATTGTACAAATTTAAATTTTGGGTAAATAACACACCTATTATTTATGCTGTGTATATAAATCCGTTAAGTTTAAAAAAATAAACAAGATTTAAAATTTCAAAAGCGCTCTTATCTCTTTCGATAATGCCCTTATATATATTACTCTTATATTATGCACACACACACACACATTTGACCGATGCTCATAAGCCACCATCTTCACTGGTAAAAACATTGTCACCGAATATATCAAGTCATCGCCGTTGTTCTAGTAGTTCAAACCTACGACAGTGATGATGAAGAAGAAACAAAAAAGAAAAAAGGGACAGTTTAGTCATTTCACATTTAATTAGTTTTTTACTTATTTTTTTATTTCGTTATGAAGGAAAACTTTAGTCTTTTCAACATTAAGATTCTTGTTTACTCCAAAATTGAATGTTATGGGCTTTTTAGAATGTATATATGGGGTTATATACTTTATATGCATATCACAGGGGTATTTTTTGCTCGTGATCCAAGAAACTATAAATTATTTTGCAAAATCAGGAAATATTTTGAAACATTTTGTTTTTCACAAGCATTATATTCAAAACTCCTCACCTAATACAATGCTCATTGTATCTCCTTAACGTTTAATGTGAAATCGCGATAATGGTTTAAGTCCACATATGAGTAAATGAGAGTGAGTTTTTTGCAAAAACAAAAAAAAAAAGAAAAAGAAAAAAGGCTTATACAAGTTGAACCCGTCTGCCTTTTTGGTAGCACTTTTTTGCCTAGTGAAATGACTAAATTACCTTTATGATCATAAATCCGTTTGGCACATGTTCCTCCAGGTGTATTTTCGTCACTAAATTTTGATCGCCAAAGTATTTGTTAGCCACGCGCTAGGTTAATGGCCTAATATAACAGAATTGGAGCAAAATGACAACTTTGTAATCTTCTTATCAGAAAATATGAACATCATGCATCTCTGAAAAGTGGCTGGTGCACTATATAACCCAAAGGGCATGCGACGATAAGCAAAGGTTCTCGTCATGCATCTCTCATTTGTTCTTTGCAGATAATATGATTTTACTGACATCAGAAGAGTAGATTTTCTATTTTATTATCAAACACAAATGTGTATATTTTCTT